TATTGTGGCCTTCTTCAGAGCGTACTGCGCGTGATACTATGAATATTCAACTTTTTTATTATACATGATATATTGTATGTATTATAGGAAGAATGGATGTGGATAATAAATCTAAATATCAATCAAATAATTTAATAACTACTTATTCGAGATTGTTTATCTTTTTACCACAAGATTTTGGAGGTAATTTCAACTATTTATCAACGAACATATGGACAAATATTATTTTTTATTGAGAATATGTATTATATGATCGATTATTATCGTCTTAATTAAGTAACTGAGTATTCAAGAAATGGGTTTACCACAACAATACATACATACAATATTGAATTTTAATTCAGGTAAAACATATTTATTTTATCATGATATAAAATGCAGAAATTGATGAATGAACTCTCAAAAAGAATTTTGGTGATATCAAGGGTTTTTAAGTATACCAAGATCAATGAGTAAAGCATTTAGATATACGAAATGTCAAATTTATTTCTTTAAACAAAATATATTAAGAATAATTTGGTTATTAAGTACAAGTTGATAAATTTAATTGATCCCTTTTGATAATAAATTATAGTAAAAACAATTCTACTATATCACAAATCACTATAAAATTAAAAGATATCTTAAACATTTTATAACGTAAATAATGTTTTGACATTGAGAATTATTTTCAAATGTATTACGTAAAAATAGAAATTATAAGAAAAAGTAAATTGTGATTGTGGTGAATTAGTGGTCAAAAGTTATAACTTTTTCAACAAACAGATATTCATAGAAGAAATTTAAATTAATTTTAGAAAATGTTCTGTCTGTAAAATAGAAAAAAGAATTAAAAGAATTTTATAAAAATTATAGTACTAGAAGGGAAGGTCATAGTTACGAATGTAGAGAATTCATTGGAACAAAAGTACTATGTTTTTGTGGATGTAGAATTAATAAATATTATTTGAAAAACTTATGAAACGAAATTCTGTGTAACAATAGTTTATATCTATATGGTAGTGCATTAGATATGATCAACTAAATATCTATCATATGATGATAAAGTGGTTTTTCTAATTTTTAATGGCTATAGTGAATATTATTTTGGTGTAATATTATACATATTTTCATACGTCTCTTTATCATTAAATAATGTGTTTATACATATCGAATTTCATTTTCTCAATAAATTGTTTTTTAGTACCTTTACAATTTTTTTCTTTATAACCTGTTTTACATGCATTCATTTGTTATCTCAATCATAAACATTCTCGAATAGGTATACCTAAATATTCATCTTTACATTTACCTGGTATTTTATTGTTTGATGTATAGATTCCAAAAGGTATCCAGATGTATCAAAATGTTCAATATTTTCTTTCATATCATAAATATTATCCCTCTCGACAAAGATGATAAATAAATAAGTAAAAGTTACTAGATGTTTCATATGATAATCATACTTCGATTTAAAACATCATAATGTAATTTATACATTAATAATTTTCATAATGAAATTTATACATTAATAATTTTCATAAGTCAAGCACTACGTATCCACCATAAATAGGTTTATTTCATACAACATTTTTCTTTCTTCTATTCAATAATATATTATCTTACTCAATAATGGTTCTCGTATCATATTTTTAATGTTTTTGAAATTGCATAATACTGCATTTTTCATACGTTAGAGGATTTTTTAAAATATCAATTGCTTGTTGTCTCAGAGCTGTATTAACCAGGTTTTTTCATCATGGGCTATAATTTGATGAATTTTATTGATAATAACTTGTATACATTTTAACTTTCTATAATCAATAACATAATTAACTTTATCTTTTAATGTATCCACGTTTCATATCATTTGATATATTTCCTATTCCTAAGAGTTTATAAGATCTTGTTGATAGTTTGATAATTCATTGAAATTTGGAATATAATGATGAGGACATAGGGGGAAATATTTAAATGTGTCATGTAAACGATCTGGAATGCATAAATTTACTTCATATGTATATTCATTACATCCATCATCACGTCAATTTAAAATATCGTCGATTGGGAATATTTTTATTTTTTATTAAAATTTTACAATTACTAATAGTTGACTTAATGTATGGCCGTATAAATTATTAGAATCTAAACACATGATATTGCTTAAAGGTTTTTTACTATTGTAAATACCTTGGTTTTAAGCTTTTTATTTTAATAATTTTATATTTTTGAGCTTTTTGGTCATGGAATAACAATTATTTGCAGATGCATATTTGTTTGGGTCCATAGATCAACTAGATAGACCATCACGTTTTCCTCTTTCATATAATTCAAATAAATCTTGATACGTAATGAGATCTACTTTTTCACCTTGAGTTTTTAACATGCTAGTTGTGGGCTGATGCGACGTCACTACTAAACCATATTTCTAAATATGTTTCTGTAAAATTAATTAAACAACGTTGGCATAATAAGAGATAATTAATTGTGGAATATTAGAACGTCAATAATCTCAAAAAATGCTATAACATTTAAATTGTTCATACACTTTGCTTTACAAATTTTAAATCTACTCAGTAAGTGTATTTAAACCAGATCTCCAATTCTTTTTTCAAATGGTTATATCTTGATTTTTTTTCTTGACATTTATCATAATTGAAAACTTTGTAATATACGATTCATTAGCTTCACTTACTGATTTACACTGGTACTGATTTACATTTACTGGTAATGTCCAAGCATATTTGGAAATTTTTAAATTCCTGTTAAAAAATATTTATATCCATTATTTATTTTGGATATACCATTTAATCGTCATGAATTCATTTCTACTAAATCTGCTTTTCTTGCATAATTCCTCAATTATTAATGTTACAACTCACGGACATTTTTCCAATAGATGTACATAATTCATTGACAATAGTTTATCGAATATTTAGTTTTTTTACTAATTTACTTCTTTTATTCCACAAATTGCATATATAAAATTTATTCTAGATCTTCCATTTTTTGTTGTTTCCTGTTTAATTTGAAACGTGTCAGTACTTTTTATAATCTGATAAGTATCCATTTATATAACTTATAATTGTAAATAAATTATTGCTTAAATGAATAATTCAAGAGAAAGGGGTATATTCTTAGCATATTTACAGATTCGCAAAAATATTTTTTTCTCCTTTATTGAATCGTAATGGTTGCTTTAGCTCACATCTATTTTTATTACCATCGTTACATATACCCAAGACATAAATTTATTTAATATCTATATTTACTTCAAACCTGATGACTTCAACATTGCATGGAACTTCGGTATATGTAACAACAGACATAAAACTTAAATTTTTTATTATTTATCAATAATGCACGTGTATTGTCAAACATAACTACATTATTTCTAAAAATTGTAAATTTACTGCAGCATAACCTTGAGTAGGATCTAATATACGATATACAGTAGTTGTTAATTGTTTAACATTTATAGCATCATTGTCATATATTCTATCACCTACTTTACGTAATATTTTACCATAAAAGTTATATTCTTCATCTTTAAAGTCGCAACTAACATCCATACCATACATATCTTGCAGCTCTTAAGTGTCTTTCACACTATCCAACAACAAAATTTAATCTAAACAATTAAAGACATTTTTTTTAAATTTTTGAAAATTTCCCATGGACTTCATATAATGTACCCCCAAAATTAAAATATAGGTTTCAAATTCAAGGGGGGCCCGACATCAAGCCAGATGGATTTGGGAATATCAATTTTGGAGAAAATCGGCTGACCGTTGTAGCCGCTAGTGTTCTTCACCGAACGACGGGCGGGCAGACGTTTTGTCGCCAATGGTTTTTTCGGCATTAAGTACGCACAAAACATGGATAGTGGCTACACCACGTTTAGAGGATTTTTTCTAAATTTTTAGCAACAAGATTTATTAACTTATTTGTTACCAAGGCCCGGAAATAGTTTTTTTTCTGCCGAAAATTCGCCTCTTTCCTGCAGCATTACATAACTTTCTCTCTTCTGCGTAAACGTAAGCGAGAAAGTAAAAACTGAAATATATATGTTAGACTTATGATATATTCAAACTCAGTCCCTTTCGCAGGTTGTTGTGATAATGGGAGTCGCTGGTGAGTATGGTTACTTTAATCCCAGTAGGACTAAAGACATATTTTAACATACGTAGGAAAAAGTGTGAATAATGCCGCACTTTATTTACGTTCAAAAGTCAAAGAAATGTAAGCCCTTCCCGTTGAGACAGTTGGTGCCTGCTGACGCCTTCTTCCACTTACCAGCTGACCTGCGCACCAAATCTGCGACCCACTTGTGTAATGGCGCTCGTGCGGCGGAGTTGGGCTGGCTCGCACCTGGCCTTTGGGGAAGAATGTGACGCCGGGCGCGCTGTAATTTGGCTCGCAAGAGCTACTTTGCGAGAGAACGGGCCATTTGAAAGGATGTTTGGACGCCGGGTCAGTGACGAAATGAGAGCATTGCCTCTGCCCTGCATTTTTACTTCTGTTTAAGTTTAACGATGCCACGTCAGATTGTGTGGGTTAACGTCGACATTAATTTGTTCTAGGCACTGTTAGAACAGTAAAAAAATAGAGGCGGAGACGTCCTACGGAGGACACATTAATTCGATAATTAAATATCAGACCTTCGCTATGCATGAAAGGTATTTTTAGTTTCCAACGTGTGAGAGAATGAAAATAAAAAAAAGGACAATGCCGCTAGTCAGGAAAAAGTAAAAAATTTAACATCAATCACATTGTACCTACAAATGAATATTATAGACGCTCTCCCTCCTCCTCTCTCTTTCTCTAACAAACAAATAAGAAATGCATGCATGCTCAGAGGTCGCTGCTATTGTCACTCGAGAGTGACAAACAAAACGTCCGCTCCCGCTCCCAGAAAAAGTAACCATTACAAATTCGTTCAGCTGCCCACGGCTGGCGCAGCAATGCCCCTTTTTAAGCGGGGGCGCCTTGGCAAGGTGCATGGCGAGCAGTGGACTCACCGCATTGGTTTTCGTCCGAGTAATCCCAGCAGTCGACGACGCCGTCGCACAACTTGCGCGTGAGGTACTGCGCGCGCAGGTAGTCTGCGCAGGCGCAGCCGCGCTCGTCCGCGCCGTCCGCGCAGTCCACCAGCTGGTTGCAGCGCGAGCGCGGCGACAGGCACTCGCCGTCCCCGCAGCGGAAGGAGCGCTCCGGGGGGCACCCTGCAAGCAGCAGCCCTGCGCTCAGGATAGAAGCTCCTTTCAAGCGAATTAAGAACAGGTTTTCGAAATATTGTTCTGTCATATCGACTCAACACAATCAGAGGAACGAGAAGGTAGTGTTAATGGCTGGCGTCACTTAATGATTTAAAAGACGGGCGTGAGTCAAGAACGATCGATACAAATTATGGACGTATGAGTAAGCGCTCATTCCTAGAAATGGCCGGTTTAGGTGGTTCAGGGCATCAGCTGACGTCACTGCCTCTGACCGCGAGGTCCCATGGCAGGAGGATTTCCGACAAGACATCGAATTCAGTCACCGTCTCGAGGAGAATTCCTGCGGCCGCTTACTCGGATCGGTAGTTTTCCGTGATTTTCGATGAACACCAGGCGAATGCCGGAGCAGTACTGCCCTAAGAAACGGGCAGAGCAACCTTTCCTTCCTACGAATTCAAAATTGATTCTTCAATTTTTCTTCTTTTTTCCTTCAAATGAAATTTGTTCTTTATTATTAGTTATTTCATTACGATCCTGAACACCTTTTTGAAACTTTCGCACAATATTGAGTGAAATGTGTGCAATATTAAAAAGTATCACAAACGAGAAGTTTCTCAAAAACAGCTCCTATGTTTTTTCTTTAAACTTTTGATTCGGATAGAGCTTAATGTACTGAATAAGATGACACTGACGCCATTTTGCTGTATATCTTTGTTTTTACAAAAAATCCGCAAATGTAATTGATTGGGGAACCGCCCGTGAGCTACTCACCGTTTAACAGCGGGCCCTCGACATCGCTCCTCCGTCGGCACTACATTTGGTTTCCACAAAACTCATATGCCATAATTTAGAACTATTTAATTGCTAAGTAATTACGCAAAAAACTTTTTTGTGCTCTCAATGAAATGCATGAACTGTCCGAGAGCTCTTCGATATTATATTTTCTTTGATCAAGAAATCAAAATACGTTTTTGAAGACATCTCTTGGACGGTTTGCGGGCAGGCGGGCAGACACTGGTGACCCGATGAGCGCGTTCGACAGTTCATTACTCAGACGTTTGAGGAACAGAAAATATAATTTTTGCGTGATTAATTAGCAATTAAATTGTTCTACAGGTGGCGTATTTGTTTTTATGGTAACCGATTATGGTGTGCTAGCTGAATATTCCGCCAGCTCCCCATTAATTACTCGGAAGTATGAAGAGCAAAAACAAGTTTTTACGTGATTAATTAGCAATTAAATTGTTTTAAATGGTGGGTCAATATGTGTTTTTGTGGTGCCAGCGGAAGAGAGCTATCTCGACCCCTTTCCGCAATCGGAAGCTCCTGGTCGAGCGCTGGCGATCGATCGGCGGGGAGTGTTTGCACATGAACTGAACGCCTTGCCACCACCGAAATCCCTTCCGCGAGAGAACTTTCGCTTCTCCACATGAACAGCTCCGTTGATTCTTTTACACAGCTTTACATTCACTTTGTGAGATGTCGGTTTGTTGGTTTTTGGAAGTATTTATTGAATAACGTACTGAAAATGATATTCCCTCCTGGATCTATCCTTCACGGGATTCTTTAGGATAAGTAGAAGCAGTACTCTTTTGAAGTATGTAATATAATTTCCAACTCATTATTGTGGTTCCTTTATTCAAAAAATATTAGAAATCTAAGCAATTTTGAATAATCTCCAGTCATTTATTTTATCAAATACTAGAAATCCATTTATAATTGTTATGAGTGTTCCGACTTTATTTGCAAATTAAATCGGAATATCAAGGCGACATCTTCTAATACATATTATTTCTTGCCTATTAATGAAGGTATACTAATTTCATATGTGTTTTTTTCATATATTTCGCTGTATTGAATTTAGCTCATTTCTTTTGATGCTTCATTATTTGATTGCAATTTTATCTCTTGTAATTGTAATACATGATTACTGGAATTTGTACGACAACGTGATACTGGAAAGTGTGGACGGGTGGGTTCGAAAGAGTTAAATATTTCCAAACTGTGATTGAACCCACTATGAGCAAACGGCATTGCATAACGGCAGACACCGACGCAAAGGCTCGCGTTAGGGATGAACCTCCGATCTCCCTCCGAGCGCCCGCCAGGCAACGCAGGGCGACGCAGGGCGCCGGCCGGCTGCTTTCCAGAGATCCCGAGGCGCGGGCTGACGCACCTGTGCTGTTGTGCGCTGCTTGCGCCCGCTGCTCGTCCGCCGAGGGCCGCGCCAGGGTCGCCGGGTCCACTTTGTGGTAGATCTTGGTGAGGAGCGGGAACAGAGGCACTCCTCCGCCGCTGCCACCGCTCGCCGCGTCTGGCCACAAAATACAATTTTATTTCCGAAACACGTGTTGTTCAAGTGTGGTATCCTTGATTCGACTGGTTGAGGTAATAGACTTCTTTTTTAATTCAAACGACGGAAGATGAAGGACATCCATGCACACAGAATACAGGATTAGAGTCCATTCATTCACGTTTCTTTATTAGTTAATGAGCACGTTTTTTCCTGTTGAAATTTATGTGCTTAGTGAGAAGACGCTCCTGGTTCTCGTAACTTTCATTTTGAAACTAAAAAATATATTCTATGTAAATAAGTGAATTTATTATCGATCAGTATTAATGAAATTATTGACTTCAATATTTTGCTTTTCTTAAATCGACATTGAAAGAAGGTCGTCTGATATTTAAAAAAAAAGTTACGCCATCATTCCATTATTCATGTAAATGGTATTCGACGTTACTCTCTGGGACCTTGTAGCAATCAACTGATTCCATGCGATTGGCGTAATTGTGCTCGGAGGATATCATTACTAAATACCCGATATATGCGCTCTAAAATAGATTAAATATCAATACATTTCTGCAGTAAAAACGTCAAACATATGCACCAAACTGTGCATAAAAAGTATGAGATCAATCCGGCGGCAGCCGACAGTTATGGAAAGGACACAACGGTCCTTAAAACTTTTTGCGCATACTCAGTGTACGGTTTTATTCTCTGCTATAAATTTACTCTTAACTGCATGTGGCGAAATATAAGTGCGTCATCATTCAACGACAACAAAGTGGGGAATTGTCGAACGACGGAGAGGAAGCTGCCTGTTCGGTAGCAACCAAGAGTTGTGGAGATGACACAATTGTTGACCAAAGTTTTAGCACGTATTCAGTGGAATATTTTTTCTACATAGTTCAGTTACCGTTAAGTACATTAATAATTTTTTTAATTTAAAAAAATCCACAGTCTAGTATAACTGCTTTACAGGGATTATTTAACTGCATGTAGCACTAGATAGGGACGTTGCTTGAGTCTGTCCAAAGCATTCAAGCTCACAATATTTACCTGCACTTCCTTGGGTGACCGTTGCGTTGCGTTTGGGTGGCTT